ACATGAACTTAGACGAAGTAAAAGGACTAGGAAAGAGAAATCTGTTGGAGAAGAATTTGTTACATATCTAGTTGAAGGCCAACCTGAAAATTATAAAGATGCTATGGTCTCTTCTGATGCACCTTATTGGAAAGAACCTAGCATTGATGAATATGAGTGAATTTTACAAACTGATATTTGGATTTTATGTGATTTACCTCAAGGTAGTAAGGCAATAGGATGTAAGTAGGTATTTAAAAATAAGTTAGAACCTGATAAAAGTATAGATAAATATAAGTTAGGTTAGTAGCTAAAGAATTTACTCAAAAAGAAGGAATTGATTATTTTGATATATATTCTCCTATTGCAAGAAGAACTACTATTAGGACATTATTAGCATGAACTAGTATACATAAATTGATCATTCATCAAATGGACGTTAAGACTATATTTTTTGAATGGCGATTTAAATAAAGAAATACATATGAAACAACCAGAAGATTTTAAAGACAAATGACAAGAACATAAAGTATGTAAATTAATGAAGTCATTATATGGACTAAAGTAAGCTCCTAAATAGTGACATGAGAAGTTCAATAGATTAATATTAAATTATGGATTTAACATGAATGCACATGACGAATGTGTATATTGCAAAAAAGATAACGAGTATGTGATACTTTGTTATGCGTAGATAACATATTAATATTTGGGACAAATTTAGGTTTTGCTAATGATTTATTTGTCAAAGAACTTTAAAATGAAAATTTTGGGAAAAGCCCACATAATTTAAGGAATGAAGTTAAGGAAACATCTGATGGAACTTCACTAAATCAATCTAGTGTTATTAAAAAGATGTTAGAAAAGTTTGGATATTATGATAATAAATCAGTTTCTACTCCATATGATTTAAATGCTCATTTGAAGAAGAATTTAGGTGAACCAATTTCGCAATTTGAATATTCTCAAGTTATTGTATCTTTATTAAACATATCAAAATAAGACAAAACCTAATATAGCCTTTGCTATTGAAAGATTGAGTAAATATACTAACAATCCAAATAAAGAACATTGTAATGCTCCAGAGAGAGTGTTTAAATATCTCCTTGGTACATTATATTATTCTATAAGCTATAGAAGCTTTCCAAATATTATTAAAGGGTATAGCGATGCGAACTGGAAAACTGATAATGTAGATATCAAGTCTACTACTGAATATGTGTTTATGTTAGGTGGTGCAGCTATATCTTGGGGTTCAAAAAGATAAACAATTATCTCTAGAAGTACTTTAGAGTCAGAGTCAACAGCATTGGTATCATTAGATATGCCATTAATAAGTAAGCCAATTTCAGTTATTTCAATACATTGTTACTATAAAAGCAGTAATAAAGCTTATGAATCAGTCTCACTTAAATCAGAAGATAAATAGGCATATTCGAGCAATAATTAAATCAATTAAGTCCTTACTTAAGAGAATGTGATTTGTCTCAATTTCGTGAGATCTAAAAAGAATTTAGCAGACAACTTAATCAAAGTTTTACTTAAGAAAGATGTTAATGAATCATTGAGAATGATGGACTTAAACCCATAAGGGAGTTACCTCCGAGAGTAACCTAACCTTTGTGAATGAAGATTTTATGAAGAAGGTTCAATATGGTAGGAACAATCCACACAACATGACTCATAATAGAATTATATTATTTGTGCTCATCTCCTACGATTATACTACTCTGATTGTGATGTTTGGAAATGTTTAATCCTAAATAAGTATTGATGCGAGAATTCTCGCGAGGTACGGTTCACACGCACACTTGGAGGACTTACCTATGTAAGAATTGTCATGAGATCGTGACGATAAGATTGGACTATTTCTTAGAAACTCTTATTAAAATTAAGATAAGAGCGCATGACCATTAACAACACCCCGCTATGAACTAAGTCCAAATCAACACTGTGCATGGAACAATTGAAATTTGACCAAAAGGACCTAATTTAAGGCTTAATCCACTATGGCTCCTTCAAACGGAAAATGTCATCACCAATTGAGGTTCAAGTCCAAATGACACATACACTTATTATACAATATAATATTGACAACATGTACACACACACATATTGAAAGTTTAAAAACTCGTGGAGCATTGTCTAAAATAAGATTAAAAACTTTCAAATTGAAAATTAAAATTTTATTTTTCTTATAACTTAATCTTCAATTTTTTATTTTAATTTTCAAATTCAATACAGAAAAATTTAGTCTCATTATTATATTTGTAACATATATTTAATTTGATTAATTTTCATTAGGCGGGTGTTGAGTTTTTCCATTATAAAAGGAAGTGCAATTTCGATTGTTTGAAACAAATAAAAAAAAATCACTTGAAAGGAATTCTAATCATTTCATATTATCTTCTTTTATAATTTTGACAATTGATAAATGCTTGTTATTTCTCTCTCTGTAGTCGTGCCCATAGAATAAGATTCGACTGTGAGCTATAATGATTTTATTTTGGAAGCGTGCAGTGTCGAAAGTACCTACACGAAATAAAGGTCACACGACTTTAAGACAGTGTTTATCGTGACTCTCTTAGACTAGTTTTTTTAATTCTATTCTCACATTTATGTTATTTGATTCGTGGTTATAGTTGGTATTTTATTACACATATAACATAAATTTCACAATATTGAGAACAACGTGGTTAAAATGATATTGAGGGAAATGAGTTTAAAATAGTATGTACAAAATATGGACAATGAAAAAAATCAAAGAAAATGAGAAGAGTGCTTTCATGCCGATATCCTTACAATTGTTTTATTGTTGTCTCAAAATATGAAGTTTTAGAACATAATATGAGTTGACAATGGAAAAGTTATTAGAGCATATACAATGTATTCCATGGATTGTCACCTAGGCGGCATATAAATAGAAAAAGTTTTGATCTTCGTGGTACTAATATTCAATGAATAGACAGTTAAGTTCTAATCTTACCTCCAATGAATTTTGTCTATAATTTCATTTTTATCTCTAATGTATATTTAATAGGAGAAAAAAATAAGAAATATGAGAGAGAAAATAACAAATAAGAAAGAGAATGAAAGAAAAATGTTAACTTTTAAGAAGAGCATCTACATTTAGATGGATCTCTTGGCAATGTTTACTTGTTATTTCAATTAGAGACAATCCCAAACAGATTGCATAGGAGATGAACTTTTTGTATATATTTTCTATTTGATTTTTTTTTTTAAATTGTAGTTGGGGTCCCAACCTTTCATTTCATTTCAGTTGGAGACAAATGAAGAATTTCACCCATTTGACTGTTGGTTAGGA